TATATATTAAATATATATTAATTATATTATAATTATATTATAATTATATTTTTCAAATTTTAAAGTTTCTGTAAAGTGTACATAGATCATTATGTCATAAGATCATTTGTATACGAACGCGAAACTCGATACACTCGTTTCATTACGTTCCTGGTATAATTTCGACACATTCAAGATTAAATTTTTGCTTGAATACTTACCCAACGTGTTTGGTGTGTTTGTCTGTACGAAATTTATAAAAAAGACCATCAAGAAATACATAAAAGGCTACGAATATAAATTCGACTTTATAATAAATATATTATATACATCCATTTCTTTTAAGTGCTTGAGAACTCAATTTGTAAAAGTTCTGTAAACACCTAAGTGTTTACCAATTTTTTGAATTAATAAGTACTCTAAAGTTTTTTTTTTATTTACAACGAAGAAGCTTTAAAAGTAGATATGCGTATGTAGTCTTATAATATTCCCTATAAAATAATTCGACACCGTATTTAATATTTACAGTATGTTTATTGGATATTATATGATTTTTGTACGATAAGGCGACTTGAAATTAAAACCTCGTTTAACGTTATTTTTTTTCGTATTTATAGAGGGGGGGAGGGATGAAAATTAAACAAACATAAAAATTAAACATGGTGTATCGAGAAATCCCGGACGTAAACCGAAAAAATCCGACTGCTTCAAATTTTCATTTCTATTTGTTTACTTTTTGGGGGGGCCCGGGAGATGGAGAGGGGATAACGTTCAACTTCAAGCGGCCTAAGTATTTAATTAAACATTATTTTAACGTCCCGTAATGAAAACATTATAAGAATAAACCCCTGTTCGGAAAATCGACACCATTTCGAACAATTTTAGAACGAAATTTTATAGGAATTTTATATTAGTCACCTGATCTTAAATTTCATATTGAATCTATTACTATTATTATTATGCCGAAATCAATAACTTAACCGAAATTGACCGAAAAATCATTCGGCTAATTTTTACGTTAGGTGTCTCAGAAATTATGAAAACAGCTGTAAGGATAAGGATTATCCGGACCATAATTCATGTGATTGGTCGATTTGAGAGCGAACGATAATAAATACCGGTATAAGTTGCGCAGCCAATATCGATATAGAATCCGGATTTATCCAGATTCGGATTATCATCCGGATACACAAAGTAGGATCCGAATTCAATCCGAATGGCCCTTAAAGAATAGGATCGAAACACTAATATAATCACACCTCTATATAAGCACCTAATTTTGTAAAACAAAATTGCAAAAAAAAGTTACTATCATCCCGATTATAGAGAGGGTTGACTGTAATTGCTGCAAATTATGGTCTTAGAATTTTAAATAACGTTTTCTGACAATGTATTACTTTAATATTTTGCAAATGAATTGTTTGATTTGCTTGGCGTTCAATATATAATATAACCGTTAAGAAGGTAGTGCGAAGTCACAATCTTTGAAAGTTGGTAACAATTATAGCATTAGCCGCATAATTAATAATGGAATCATTGAACTATTGCGGAATTATAATTCCGTTAATCACTAGACATAATTAACAAATATATAGACTAATTAAAATAATTATCCGGTTTTATTCACTCAAAATAAAATACTCAAATTTGGCGAATTCAATTTTAGGCAAAAAATTATGTTCCAATACCTTTTGCCAGAGTTTTCATTTCAACATTTCACTATGTTTTTTTTTAACTTATATGATACAAAGCTTAATCAAATTGGGAAAATGGTTTTACGTAAAAGAACTATAAAAATTTCTTTATTTGGTGATAGCTAAACAAAAAGAAAATATTCATAATTTGTGTCATACCATACAAAAATATGGATAGTGAACTATTCATAATTTGTGTCATACGATACAAAAATATGAATTTATCTTATTAATAAGGAAAACAATTGGTGACTTGTCAGAAGTTCGAAATAAACAAAAAGATCAAAAGTCCAAGAAATTGAACACAAATATGAATTGCTATGTATATTTGTGAAAATATTTATTGCTGTTATTCTTGTTTGTAAAAATAAAATAAACTAAAAGAATTTCATGCTACCGTTGTCACCAGAGTTTTAATTTACCTTGCTCATCTCAATTTTCATCAGTGCACAAAATTTGATATTACGACCAAAAAAAAATTTGAGTAACGTAAATTCTCCGGCCGAATCGTAAATTCTCCGACTGAATCGAAATTTTTTAATTAAACGGAAATCTCCGTAATAGGTTTGTGCATTCTTTACCGCATATGAGTGTTGCCAAGAGAAAACATACACATTTAAAAACAAACTTTTGCAACAGAATGCGGACTTTCAAATTTTGTTTTTTTAGAATGCATGTGATCAAAAAGGATGCTTCGGTGATTAACAAATCAGACGCCGTTTAAAAAAGTTGTACGTAATGTGATCTCTAAATGTATTGAAAGTGCAATTTTTTAAAACAATTAAATGAATAAATATTAATATTTTAAGAACGCAATCTCTAAAACTAAAGTCAATATCTGAACAAATATTGAACAAATATTGAACAAATATTAATGTTTTTTGAAAGTCGAACTCATTTGTTTGCCAAGACTAAATAGTACCTGTGAATGCGGAGGGATCCGTATTCTTTTACTGATAACCATTTTATTGACAAGTTATTTAAACGATATCACATAATATGACAATTTATCAATTATATATGCTAAAATTAATAATATGCTAAATTTTCACACTAATTAAAGTCGGTTAAATGACTTGCCAGTGAAGTGACGGTAATTGCCACGAATTAGAGCTACAAGTTTTGTATACCTAGTTCACATATTTAAACGGTCAACTTTGTACAAACTAACAATCAATAGATAATCGAACTTGTACAAGCTGATTTTGGTGCCATTAGATTTATCTTATTGAGATGAATTTAATGAGGAACCCGAGCAATACATAGATAGTCAGATCTAAATTTGCTTATTACATGCCGAACATTTTCCGAAAACTCCTATGTTTGACCAAATTTACTATGTAAAAATGCAAATTTCTTTTAAATTTCCTCTTTTGGTATCCTCTTACCTATTTACGAATTGCTCGGGTCCTATCTAATGGTACCAAAATCATGAATTTATAATTACTAGGTCAAGATACGTGCTGCCAAGAGAAGGTTTGTTCTGTGTGTCTTCTATGGAAATCTATCATCGGGCTTCCAATTATATATTGTGGCAAGTTGTTGCGATATTAAATTTTCCATAGACGGCAAACAAACTAAACTTTGAAAGCCCGATGACGGGTCTTCCCTTGGCAGCACTCATTTAATCAGTACATTAATTTGCGTAACTGTACTAATTTGACTATTTAAATGAAGAATTTGACTGTCGGCTGTACGAATTTGACTACGTATCTACTTGTACAAAATTGACCGTGGAATCATTTCCATATTTTGGATAAAATACTCCAAACAAATCGAATAATTCGATTAATATAATTTGAATAAACTAAATAATTATTGAGAACCTGTGTTTACATATTGCTAATTCTAGTGATCTAAAGAAATTATATTTATTTAATGATTTCCGCGTTGTAAAATTATTAAAATCTCCTATATTACTAGTTACACCGTCAATACTATAATTACAAATTTTCCAAAGATAGATAATGTATTGTGACTTTGTGTCAGTACTACGTGCGTACGCAAAATTGTGCAGCTATGTAACCTACTTGTTTTTTCGAACAGCGTTATTTAAGTACTTACGTACGTACCATGTACAATATGAAATAAGAAATTGTCCAGGACATGGGACACTGTCTGTGACTGTCCAAGTCCCTACAATTAACAGGACATGTCCGTGTACAACATTGCGGCTACGTGACCAAATTTTGTTGCATATCGGGTAGCTTAACTCGAGAAAAATAGAATTCTTATATATATTCCCTCAAATTCCCTCAATTGTTAGAGTCTAAGCCCTTATACATTAATATTAGATATTCTATTTCGCAATCGAATTATTCAAAATAGTGAAACATATCTCTGTGAAACTTTATTAATCCTTCCGAGTCTTACCATGGCGATGTGGTACGGCTTGCCCGACACTAATTACGACACAAGTCGCAATATTTTGACTTACTTCAAGATAATTTAGAATCGTTCGAAACTAGTTACGATACTTTCGATTTGTTAAAAACAAAATACGGCGCAAATAGTAATAGTTTCGACTTAAGCCAAAATAATTTCGCCTCGTTCAAATCTAATTTCAGCTACTCGTATACTCATTATTCGATACCGCACAGAAGTTTGTTGCAAGAAAAACGGCGTTTGGAAAAACAACGTTTGAAAAAACGGCGTTTGGAAAAACGACGTTTGAAAAAACGGCGTTTGGAAAAGCAGCGTTTGAAGAAACAGCGTTTGGAGGAACAAGAAAAACGGGGTTTGGAATACTGGCGTTTGGAAGAACAGCGTTTGGAGGAACAGCGTCTGTGCATAAGTTCGGTGCAAGAAAAACGGGGTTTGGAATACTGGCGTTTGGAAGAACAGCATTTGGAGGTACAGAGTCCGTACATAAGTTCGGTGCAAGAACCACAGGGTTTGGAATACTGGCATCTGGAAGATCAGCATTTGGAGGTACAGAGTCCGTACATAAGTTCGGTGCATGAACCACAGGGTTTGGAATACTGGCATCTGGAAGATCAGCATTTGGAGGTACAGAGTCCGTGCATAAGTTTGGTGCAAGAAAAACGGGGTTTGAAATACTGGCATTTGGAGGAACAGCTTTTGAGGAAATATTTAGAACATATCTTTAAAGATAAGATATATATCTATTGTTATCTCCAGGCCCTTTTAAAGATGATTCTTTTAATGTTGAGCACCTCGTTTAAAGATTAGATTATCTTTAAAATTGCTTGCTTACTTGCTTATAAACCTTGAACAATGTGAGTATAATTTACTCGGAAAATAGCATGTCAATTTTTTTATTTATTTAATTTTTTTGCTCATTTACAATGCTTTTCTATGATAGAGACATTTAAGTGGTATTATATTTGATGACTTGATAATATATAGTTGGATATAACCTAAATGTCCAACACCTAATAACTTATAATAGCCACACGATTTTTCACACAGATTTTATGATATCGATATGATTTTAGTTTTTATTTTACTCCTATTTCTAAATTAATTTTAACTATTATACATGTATAATTTTTTATCTTTTATATGAGCAATAAAGCATAACACTATTTTAACAACCGAATTGCTGATATTAACTGACTTTCCTTTTTAACATCAATAAAGTGTACCCATTGCTATATGCAATGATTAGAATATTATATCTAAACTAAAAGGATAAAGATTGTGAATATCCAAAGTTACTGTTCTACGTCTTTCAATTTACTTCGATTATTAATTGTCATCTGTAAAGTTGAAAATAAAGTACGTCACTTTGCAATTGGTAAACCATTTATTCTTTATAATAAATTTTTTAGCGAATACATTCATAAAAATTATTTTACTAATTCCTTTTTTTAAATAATACAGTAGCATACTAAATGCTAATCACTAAATTTAATTTTAAAAAATCATATAATATCGTATAGCGCTGCATATAGTACCACCCCTGGAATAGTATCCCCTTTTTTTACAAGCGATTTGTGGTCCAGTTTTCATATTAATAGTGCGATCTTTTCATTTGGTTTGATATGTTTAATAACAAAGTATATAGTGATCAGTAACAATTATTTGTTATCCTTCCATCTCTCGATATTTGGGGGTATTATTCAATCTAGACCGGTTTTTTTGTAAAATACCCGGGGTACTGTATGCAGCGCTGTACGGTAATAAAAAAGCATATGTTGCCATTTGTGATTTCTAAATAAAAATTTCTCATTTAAGTTTTCTAATTTTTTTGTGAAAAAATAAACTGAATGACCTTAATACTCACCAGTAAAAATTCACTAAGCATGCTAATTTTCAAAAGTGGTTTTAGAGTTAGAACTTGAAGTTATAGGCTAGGGTTTGTAAATGCTGAACATTTTTATTTAGCACTCTAAACACCATTTACTGAAACCATTTTGAACAATAGTATAAATGGTGTATTTCATTCTGGTGAACCTTAATAATTTTTTTTATAATTACGACGCATTATTCATTAAAGCAAATAACAGCATAGCTGAAAAGCATTAGTTTATAAATAATCTTTTTTTTTTTTTTTTTTTTACAAAAAAACGAACATTAGCAGAATATAGCTTAGAGTTTAGATTTTTCATATGTTAAAATTGGATTTAATCGGCTTTAATATACAGCATCGGTATAAAAAATAAACCGATTATAACTCTAGCACTGTTTTCAAAAAAAACCAACAAAATTAGTCCTATGGGGTATTCAATGGCTGCAAGATGCATTTTATAGTATATACCGATCCATCTGGAAACATTAGTGACTGTTTTGACAAAAATATAACCTGATTAAATGATAGTAACAATAGAATGTACAAAAATACTAAAGCAATGATATAAATAATCAGAGAACAATAAATTGTAGCAAATAAATGATGACAGATAAACAAATAAGGCAATTTAATTACTATAATAAAGGCCATAACAACTCCGGTATTTCATTACGACAAAATGCTCATGTAAATGAGTAATGGAATTCCTTGGCAAACGAGATGACCCTGCCATTTTTAAGAAAAATATCCAGAATTTGTTTATTATGTGCACAAATATAACGGTATAGTTTTTAAACGCAGCCGGGATATTGCCCTTTGATAACAACCCGGATAATTTTTATAAAAATTTAAAATTTATGTTGATGTTTTTTACAAATTAAAAAATTATTTAAATGATTAAGAAAAACTTTATAATTTGTAAAGTTAAAATTTAAGCCATTATAGCAAATCCTTAAATATTATCATCTCACTGAGTTGCCTGCAAAATAGATAAAGAAGAAATGAAATCGAGATCGGATATATGAATTGGTCTGGTCTTCATTTTAAACATAATTTTTATCAACATTTCGTTTTCATGTTCATTGACATTATTTTCACAATTGACTCATCGTCACCGTAGCTTTCATTACTTTATTCAGATTCATTATTATTCTTTCGACGGATTTCAACTTTTTACGATTGTTGGATGGATCTTTGTAAGTTGAACAATTGTGAACTTTTATTAACGAATGTTTCGTTTTTTTCTTAGTACCGGCATATTTGGATGCTAATTTAATATCATTTTATGTAAATGTTTAATTACGTACTGTACGTACGAGTTAATGACGTATTTTGTCGCGTGAAAGGTCAAGGTATTAATTGATAATATCTTGTGTCGTTGGATATCAGTACATCAGTAGATATGTTAATCTTAAAGATGATAATACTTGTTCATTTATGGAGGGCATTTATTAAGAGCTTCATATATTTGGGACTGAAAATAGTATGCATTAAGAGAGGGTAAATATAGTGGAGGGTGTATTTATGGGGGGTTGGCTGTACCGTTATTTAATAACGTGATTTACAAGATTTGAGTTAAACTACCGGCTAATCTTCTGATCTAATTTTTGATCATAAATTATTTGGCGATACTTGCTTATAAACTTTGATGTATGTTGCAAGAAGTCTTGACCAATATTGCGTGACCAGAATGGCCAAAATTTTAAAAAGTTTTATTATAAAATTTTTTTGTATTACATATCAATTAGCAATCAAATTCTAGTTCAATAAAAATTTCATATTAGTGGCCAAAATTTTCAAAAAATAATAAATATTTTAGCTAATAACTTTGGTTTTAGTAAACTAAAGAAAAAAATCTTTTGTAATAATATAATATTAGCTTCAAATAAATAATTTACAGATGCATTTTTTCGGGTATATTATTAATATAACTATTTATTACAATTTTTATTTTTTATAATCTTTGAAGTCATGTGATGTTAGTTTTAGGCTTTTTGCACATGCACCCGAAATTTTCGATTTTCGTCGGTTTTTTTCATCTGAACATTGCTTTCCTCGAATTATGGATCCTCGCTACGTTTAGGACAATTATTTTGAACAAGCGCAATGTATTTTTTATTCGTTCAATTTTTTTTTAATTAATTTTTTGTTTATGAAATATTTTATTCATTTTAATAATGAATAACACAGTATAACGGTCACATCTAAATTTTTATTAGATCGGTATTTAATTTTATAATGTAATACTTTATCATTTTGCAAATGAGTTGTTTGACATTCAATATATAATAAGTATAAGCGTTAAGAAGATAATGCTAAGTCACAATGCATTATCTATCTTTGCGAAAGTTTGTAACAATTATAGCATTAGTACATAATTAATAATGTAATCATTAGAATTATGCGGAATTATAATTCCATTAATCACTAGACATAACTAACAATTTCAATAGACAATATATAGACTAATTAAAATAATAATCCAGTTCATTCAAACGTTACTCAAAATACTCAAATTTGGCGAATTCAATTTTAAGTCAAAAATTATGTTCCAATACCTTTTGCCAGAGTTTTCATTTCAACATTTCACTTTTTTTTTTTTTTTTAACGTTTTATCTTTATATGTTACAAAGCTTAATCAAATTGGGAAAATGGTTTTACATAAACGAAAAGAACTGCACGCATGTGATATATTTGTTGGACGCATTCCAGCGCTAATAGCGCTGGATATTCAAACTTTATTAAAGAATATATAGCATACATCAGTGCGTTTGATGTATAATTGAAGAGATATATAGCATACATCAGTGCGTTTGATGTATAATTGAAAGAGATATATAGCATACATCAGTGCGATTGATGTATAATTGACAGAGATATATAGCATACATCAGTGCGTTTGATGTATAATTGGCATTAGCCGGTGGTTTCCCGCCCGCATAAATGCTGGCCGGCTGTTAGCCAGAAGCTTTGTGGTCACATGATCTTGGCCGGTGGTTTCCCGCCTGCATAACGCAGGCCGTCCGTAAAGAGACGTTTAAGCTGCCACAAAATGGCAGGATTCTACTGAGGGAGGGGAGGGTAGGGCAGGGTGCGAAATTGCTTTGCCACTTGAAGGGCTTCTCTCATACTACCCTGCGCCGTTCCTCCGTTTTATATCTGTTATTGTCATATGTTCCCTGCTAAATTTTGCTTATATTTAACTACCTAAAACCTTCCTAACCCTAATATAGGATGACCCTAACCCTAAAGTTAATCGAGAACATTATTAAGAAATATGAGTGCCTCCGCTTTAGACATCCCCCTATTTTGGGTATTTTGAAGTAAACAATATAACAAATTGTAAAAATCGTCAAAAAATCGCCCAACTTCATGGTCATGCTTCTTTTGGATTTTATTTTTAACCACCCTTGAAATTTCACAGAAAGAACCTTCAAATGCTAGAGAATTTGTGAAATAATGTCTAAAAATTACACTGACCACTTCTTTATTGTCAAATAAGCATAGAAGCAAATTTAAGCAAAATTTTACTTATAAAATTTGGGTGCGTCGATCATTTGACCTACTATTAAAAATTTTACACA